GTCTCATATTACTTATTACTTATTACTTTGTGAAGGTTATTACTTCATATATTTTATTTATTTATCCTCGTTAACATTTATGTGTTCAATTATGCACATTATCACTCCCGAGGGGATATTTTATGGATTTTGCATCACTAAGACAATCTAGAAATTTGTTACAGTGGAAAAAGAAGAAATGAGCTTTAATGAAGAATTCAGAAGAATGAAATAAAAATTTTCAGGTATTATTTTGATAAGAAGTCAAGCCTGAGGTATTAATTTTTAAATTAATGATAATTTTTTCACTATTTCAAAGAGCTTAGCTGATATTAATTTTCAGTTTAATTAACTACTAAACCAATGTTCGTTTAAAATAACATATTAATTACCGTACACGAATTGGTAAATTAACTAGAAGTGAAAAAAAATCTATTAAAAAGTGACGTAAAAAATTTAATAAAATAATAACTCACAAAAGAGTTTATTTGTTATTTTTAAAAATTTTAACTACGTTCATTCCCCCATGAAAAAACATATATTAAAAAATATATTAATAATCTATAATAAATATATAAATATATAAAAAGTATGTAAAGTAAATATATTTTTAATAACTAATTTTTGGCCGATTTCCATATATATTTTAAATATATTTTAGATTTATTCAAGATATATCTTAAAATACAGAAAAAATACATAGCTAAAAATATAAAAAAAATATATTTTGAATATATATAAAATATATTTGAAGTATATAAAATATATATGAAAATCGGCCAAAAGTTAGTTATTAAAAAAATTTTTCGTCATTGTGTAAAGTGTAAAATGTTTGTGTAGAATTTAACATTTTAGTATGTTGATCAACACAAATTTTTGTGTTAAATTTGACGAAAAATTTTTTACTGTGTAGGGGTATATTGACCACAATTCATAAAATTATTCATAAGTGCATTATTTCAAGTGGAAATTTATGATATTTAGAAATGATTTTCTTGAGTCAAGAGAATCAATTCTTGAAATAAAAAGAATTTTCTTAGATCAATAATAATTTCTTGACCCAAGAATTCATTCTATTGATTCAAAAAAATTATTTCCTTCAAAATGACATTCTTGGTTCAAGATTTTGGCTCTTAAGTCAAGTTAATATTTTTATCAGTGATGTATATTCTCTTTTCTCCGCCTGAGTAAAGATAAATTTAAAAAAAGTTTTTTACTGTTTGCATAACACGAAAGTTATACCATTAACAGCAATAAAAATTAAATTTACAAAGATTTAAATAAAAAACTAGAAAATGGCGTAAAATTTTAATTGACAATAAAAATTCACCTATATCGTTGAAGATCGTACGTGTGAAATTTGAATATTTCATCTTATGGAAAGATATACGGTTCCGAAAAAAGGAATTTTTATTTTTGGGTTACATTATAATTTACCGTAGCTACTATCTGTAGGTAGTACTTTTTGTTCTCACATGTCTCACTTTGTTTCTTTGTTCTTTTCAGTATATCCTACAAAGAAGAAATTGCCCGACTACATACGTACATCTACTACTTGCGGCTACGTACAATATACAAGTTTCCTTTTTACGAAAATTTCTCACCCCCATCTCTCTCTATTTCTCTTTCTCTATCTCTTTTTCCTCTCTTTCTTTTGGTTTCTGGCACCCCGTAACCGTTCCAGAGCAGCCTCGTCTCCTATCCGAAACTTTCGAGCTCTCTTCGATCTTACCAGCACAGTCTAAGTCTAAGTCTCTATCTCTCACACGGAGCTCATGAATTTCAGACATGTTCGTGCCTGAGCCTCGGTACCGACGGCATCCCCTCGCCATTGCACCGGCGGGCGACGTTAACCCGTAGAATGGCATAACTTGTAAAAGCTCTTGAGGGTGGAGAAATAAGAGGAGAAGGAGAAGGAGAAAGAGGGTGCACACCTCGTTCAAATATACATATGCACGTATGTGCTCGTAACGACAAAGTATCATGAATGCACTGCTATTAATTTTTGTATTCATGTCTTTTTTTATTCCCACCTTTGTACTCCCATTTAATTACAAAAAATATTTCCTTTGTTTCCCCGTTTCCAAATGAATTTTTAACTATTTTTATTTTTATTTATTTAAATACTTCCCGCTTGAATTATTTAAATCGACATTTTTCATCCGCTCGTTAAAAAGTTCGGCCCAGAAATATTATTTTGTTAGTAATAAAGTTGGAAATCGCAAGAGTTCAAAGGAAACTAATTGATAATTAAATTTTGAGGAAGAAATTTAAGAAAGTTTTTACTTGATAATTCATTTATGTAAATTGAATTTACTTTGCAAGAATAAATTTTTTGTAAAAATCAGTATTGAGTGCTGAAAATTTCGTGGGTTAGAAGTGAAGTTTGACTGACAGTTTTTCGATTAAATTTTTGTCCTGTGATTTGTTTAATCTACAACACTGAATAAATATGAAATTGAAGGAAGAATGCAAGTTTATTACATTTAAAAAAAAAATTATACCGAAGTTTTTATGGATTTTAATTTTTAAATACTGAGTTTTTAATGATGAAGCTTTTTTGTAGTCAAGAAATGAGAGTTAAAGATTTTTAATGTATAATTAGCAATTAATTAATAATATAACTTAGATAATGACAGGTGAAACGGATGAAGGTTTTCACATTTGAGCGCCTTGACAGCTATATTTTAAATAATTTTTGAATTATCAAAAACTTCTTAAGAATTTACAGTGACAAAGATTTGATCATTTATTATTGATGAAATAAAAGGTTAAAGTCAGTTTGAGTTTAATAAATTTATACTGTATAAATACTCAGTATATAATATAATATTTATAATAATAAAGTACCCTGGTTACAGATTAATTAGAGCTTACATGAATTATTAACTTCATATTTTCAGAACAGGATATAAAATAATTCAACGAAATTCATACTTAATGAATTCCTATATTAATATTTTCAACGAAAAATTAAATTCATTAATTTGGTAGTGAAATATTGATACTTGCATCTAGAGAAAATTTTTGTAAATCATTTTAATTAACAATTATGAACATAAATAATTTACTGTCAAAAAAAGTCTTGTAGCTTAAAATTGATAAAATTTGAATAAATTTAAAATGTATATAATAATAATAAAAAGAATTTGACTGTTTCGGGTCTCTTGAAGGAATATTTTTAATTCTTAATCAATACTCTATGTTTAAACACAGATGTCATGAAAACGAATAATCTTTTGAAATTTTTGTTGAAGATCTTTTTTATAGAGCGTAAAATTTTCTTTTAAACCCATCATTCGAAAATTTCATAAGATTGACCGCTCTAAAGTTGTAGAAATTCAAAAATAAAGAAAAATTTTCCCATGTTAGATAAATGGAAAATAGAAAAGTAGATTAAGACAAACCTTAAAATCAATATTAAGGCTCGGAAAAAAAAATAATTTTTTTTAATACTTATGCATTTATATTATATATTTTATATATTTTTCAATTCTGATAAATAAATAAATATTTTGTGTCAACTATCTATTGCACTTTAATTTGACATACATATTTCCGTATGGTAATTACTAGCAATTAGTCGATATCAAAGTATTATTACAGACAAGATAACGATTGTACTGGAGTTTTTACTACAGCTAGTAATATATTTTAAATCCCACGCTTTACAAACACTTGTAACAATTCGTTTAGAAAAATTTCACACTATAACTCTGTGAATAATAGAAAGTTTTCTATAATTTTGGTAATAAAAAAATTTTATTTTACCTAGAAATAGTTTTGTTCATAAATATGAATAATTCCTTTTATTACACGGTGAGTATTATTATTATAATGAAAAATAATTTAAAAGTTATATATTGTGTTTATAATTATTTATAATATAATTAACTGCCAAAATAAATCCTTCGTTCAAATTAAAAATAGAAAACAAATAAAAAAAACTATATTTTAAAAAAATTTTTTTAAAAATTATTACAAACAAAAAAATCTTGTTTGGTTTGATATTTTTTTTTGATTGCTAAAAATATTTTTTACTCTAAAATTTTTTATTTTTTACAAACATTTTCTTATTTTTTTTGCTATAGTACATTCGGAAATTTAAATTATTGCATATTTCATTTTACTATGGTACATTTCAATTTCTACCGTTTGCTATGTCTGATTTCATTTGTTTCGGAAATTACTATGGGCCATTGTAAAATTTTATTCTGAGTCAATAAGGTTCACTAGTAATATGCACCATTGTAAAATTTAAAATCCATGCAGAATAAAAAATAATAGAAATTTCTCACCGTGTATGATTTCCATTGTTTCTTAAAATGATTTACTCAATAAACTTTCTATACATAAAATTCAGTGAGCGTGATTTACGTTCTTATCAGTCATTCGCATCACAAAATTGACAAAAATTAACAAACACCGGTGTAATCAAACATAAAAAACTTAGATAAAATAATGATAATAATAATGACGATTGACATTACATATTTTATCATTTTTTATTTCAGTTTTAAATAGACTAGCAAAGCAGTCTCTTGGGATAAAATATCACACCCATTTCGAATGTAGTATAGAAATAAAATCTATTTGTAAAAAAATGAAGTTGCGTATACTATGTAATGTTGCAAACACGATAACAAAAATATGTCGGAGTACGAGTACTATAAAAACTCGTGTATGTGTATTGTAAGTTGTTAAAATTAAAAATGTGTCGAGTGTAGAGCCTGAAAACGTGTAAATATCTATTGAAAAGCGCCGGAGCGTTAAAATAAAATCATTAAATTGGTTTATGGGCGCGCCATATAGATACGATCGTAACCAATGTTACTTCGTCGGTTAATTGCGATGTTTAGTATTACATACGTACCAAGAGTACTCGGTAGTTCGTCTACTCCTGAAATAACTTGGCGAATATTTGTTATTAAATATTAGTATTAATATAACTATATCCAGAACTGTAACTTTATAAATATATATTATAGTTATTAACGATTATAATAATAACTTCTGATGCGATGTCACGTCTAACGACTAAAACTTCTCGGGTATTTGGTAAATCATCTCCAACTAAAACTAAAACTACAACTTCAGTATCAGACAATAATAATTTAAGGGTTAAAATTTGGAATTCAGACACGATGCAATTTGAAATTTCAATTGCGGATGGAATTGCTGCCTCTGCAACATCTAATTGTCATCAAACAGTAACAACTATATTAAAACAAACCCCATTACAGAGGTCTGATTGCTATGAAACGGAAAATATATCACCGGCCATTACAATTCATCAGCCGATTTTTGAGTAAGTTTTTTAATGATTCTTTTTTTTTTGTTTTTATTTTATACGCTTCAACGCGAGTGTTGGTTGATTTCAATATTATCTGATCGTAAATATGACTCGTAAAAAAATTTTTTTACTCAAGTTCAATTCTTTGTAGTTCAAAAATGTTTTATAGATGATAAAAATTTTTATGGATAAAAATTGACTCTTGTTAAAAAATATTAAAAAAGTATTTTTTGTTTCGTCTATTTGTTTCAAATGTACAAATAGAAAATCTAAATAAAAATTTTTTTAGCTAAAATTTTGAAGTAAAAAAAATGATTTTTTTTCACAAAAATTGAAAATTAGTGAGAGATAATAAATTGTAAATTTTTTTGGGATGGACATTTTATTCTATAAAAAAATTTATTCTTGATTGAGTATATCAAACATTTACTCAGTCGATTAATTAAAGTAGAATTATAATCAAGTCTAGTCATATGATAAAACCTCCATGATAATTTTAAATTGTTTTTAGGATAAAAATTCGAAGCAAAAAAAAAACAATAAGCAAAAAAATATCGAAGAATTAAAAATACAATAAAGAACAATTTTAAAGAACAATAAAGAACAATCTTAATTAAAAAATATACACGCGCGTTGAAGAGAAAATTGTAGAATTTTTAATATATATATTTAACACATATTCCAAAAATTGTCACCCAATGATACAAATGTAACACGTGGAGTTTTGTAGAGTAAATTTTTTATTGCTCTTATAACAAAATCCACAGATGGTAAAATTTTCTTGAAATGTAAAAGAGTAAGAAAAATATCGGTGAAGATTCACAAAGAATTTATATTCTTGATTTTTATATGAACACACGGTCTGTCTTAAGAGACGTGGATACCTACGTGATTCTGAGAATGGGTAACTCGACAAAATGAAGACGACAACATTTTCGTGACCTGGATCCATGTGAAACAGATAGTAGTAAAGAATCAGTTGTGCTTTTATTTAACTGAATGCATGACATTTCACTGCAATTCAGCTCCAGTCAATTTTATTTTATTATTTATCGTCCGCATTAAAGTTATTATGATCATGTGATTATTTAAATGGCAATATTTATATGCTACTGGTACTATTTTATTTATTCGATATTTTTAATGGGCTCCTGTCTGGTTGCAGAACTATTTTTTTTTCTTTTTAGGTCAAATCTAGTTCAAATTATTTTCAATTCCAATGCAGAATGTTTTCATAATACGTACTTGCTGAATGAGTCGTTAGATATTTAAGTGTAATCTGATGTATTGACTATTGGATCATTCATTTTTAAAAGTGTTATCAATAAGCCACAATTTAATCGAATTATCTGCAATTATTATTTAATTATAATTTTCATTTTTTAATGTCTTAATCAATGTGTAAAAATTTTAATCTCAAATTCGAGATTAATTACTGACGATACGAAAAAAATATAGAAGAAATTTTTTAAATATTTACTCCATAATTTTAATTTAAAATTTTTTTCTAATTAGTTGAGAAGTTTACTGTTAAAATTCTGAACTAAATTTGAGGGATAAGATAAAATTATCTGGAACTTTTCTTACAAGAAATTAACTACAAAAAAGATCCTTATTAATTTTATCGTATCTCTGACCTTTCATTCAGAATACCTAACAAAACTAAAACTGATTAAAAATTTTATTGATTATTCAATTCAATAGCTTCAACCATTAATATCATCAATTTGATATTATAATTGGTTAGTTACATTCAATAATTGGAAAAAAAAAAGCCAAGCAGATGATATCCCAACCAATTACTTTGGTTTCGACCATTGGTTCACCGCAACCCGATAGAAATAACGCCATAAACCCTATAAATATTAATATAGATATTCACTATTTTCATTTCAATGAATAAAAATATGTTAGAAAATAAATTAAGAAAAATATCAAACTGTTTCTATTTCCAATGGGAAATTGTACCTATAGTCTCTCAATAATTAACCAACTCAATTTTTAAAAATGACTTATAATAAATATTTAAACTTTCGAAATACACGTTGAAATTGCTGCAGAAATTAAACATCAGAAGCATGAGTCAGTTTTCAGATCTGAAGATACGAAAAACTAACTAAGGGAAAACGACATTTCATAATTAAATTTAAAAAATAAAACTCGGAGTAAATAATTAACTAGAAGGTAATATAAATTTTTCTCTATCTCCTCTGACTGAAGGTTCGTACCGTCATCCAGTGTAATTTAAAATTCCGTTAGTAGTAAATATTTAACGTGGATGGAATGGAACTCGATCTATGGCAAGGTACCGGTGTATCCATCCCCAGTACTCGAGTAGGTGCTATTTGAAAAGTTGAGCGCATAGTAGGTAAGCTCCGTGACCAACATCTCTCAGTTGATTTTTTCTCTCTATTTTAAAACTCCATTTTCCTCAAATGTTTTCTTTATTTATTTTAGTTCCTTTTCCTGGAACATCCAAACTCAATTGGTCATCCCGAAGAGTACTTGCGTCAATTTATCTTCCGGCGATGGCGATGGGCTAGGACGAGTCTTGTGCCTAAGTTGAGGTTCGCTTCAATAGATAGCACACAGTACAAGATCGTTGTTTACTTAGAAAAGTACTCAAAAAAAAAAAAATTATACTCTAACTTGTGTTTTTCCATATTTGTTCTGCACTCGATCTCGAATTATTTCATTATTTTTAATTTATTTAACAGATGGTCATAAAAATATAACCAAAGCATATTCTTGTAGAAAATCCACCTCTTTAAAAATTATTCAAGAGCAAAGTTGAACGTATCAGAAATTTTTCACTTTTTTGGTGAATTTATCAGACTTGTTCAAAATTTTGCTATGAATTATTTTTTTAAAAGTAATTTTTGTAATCTAAAAAGTATCTTCATGACATTAAAACGGTATATTCGTCTAAAAAATCTCATTTTAGTCGCTTTTCAATAACGTAAAATTTAATGTAAATGTATATGTAAGTAAATATAAGAAATTTACATGAATATTATTATTTGCAAAAGTAGTCGGTAGTTTCTTGGGAAGCGGATGCACCAACTTGACGACAGGAGACGCTTTTGATATCTTTTGACCCAGTTGGGTGCTTCGTAAAATTTATTGGCGTTTTGATGAAACCACCCTCGGAGATGTTCCAACAGTCTGTACTCTCTTGCACGCCCTGTAAGCGGCTACCCCATAAATTTTAAAGAAAGGCTTTCCCAGTTTGTCCCCTTGCATGAAGGTCCGCCTCCCACCCTTCTGCGTCCTTTTTACTCTTTTCATTTCATATATATAAACTTCTATTTTTTTTTTTTTTTTTTTAGACTTACAAACCTTTGCATGCATAAACTTGGCTTTGATGAATTGATAGCCGCGATCGCGATGTACTTTTTATATTACGCATTAAGATTTCAATCTTAGCTTTTATTTAATTGCCGTTAATTTTTATTATAAGTGAATTTATTATTTTTTTTTTCAATGATTTATTAATTGTAAAATAAAGAAAAAAAAAGGAAAAATTTGAATAATTTTTATGAAAAATTATTGTTAGCAATTTTTTATTTTTATTCTAATTACCATACAACTAAATTGTAAAGGAGTTTTTTTAATTAACGAGAAAAGAAAAACGGGTAATAACTCCAGTTCCGAGTATAAAATTATGTAGCATTAAACTTTGATGTATTTACATACCGCATAGACATTTTAGAAGTCGCGGGAACAAGGATTTGCCCTGCGGTTTTGACAGAACGCAAACGAGCAGACACGGAGTTAGAGATAAAGATAGAAATAATTGTATATAGTAATATATACAGGTACATTCAAAAGTAGAGGCTTTACTTCACTCACTGTCTTACGTTCCGCGTATCCTGCAGAATGGTAAGTCTTTGTATAATTACACTGATTACAGTGAGCTTTACTGTTAAATTGTTCCCGAAATTTCAGCTGGGCTTTAATTTTAACAGCTCGAGAATGTCGTTCGGCATAAGTGAATGTGAAATGGTATGGGATGTCGATATAAAGCGTTATTTTGCGGCACGGTATTATACAGGATATAAGCATAAGTTACTGCTTCTGGCGGTACGTTAACGTCGAAAACCCGACGTTAAATTTATTATTAATACCGAATTTGTTACTACCTACTATACCTTGCAACGATATACGTGTCGTTGCGTCATAAAAATTTAAACCCTTATAAAATTTATCGATTATATATCTAGTATCTACTCAACTATTTTTTGATTATAAAAATAATAATAATTATTGTTATGATTATCATTATTTTTGTTATTATTGTTATGATATGTCCACATAAGGTTTTTTCTATGTCCTGATGTGTCCATATAGCCTGATATGGCCACATATGCCCAAATATAATTTTTCAACTAACTATCGTGTGAATAATCTTCGACAGAGGGTGCATGAAAGCTCACAGAACATAAGCCCTGTAAAAATTACAGAAATATCTGTTAAATTTACAGTTTTACTTCTTTCAAGACATAACTATCGTATTTAAATTTTAAGAATGTAATTTTTACATTGGAAAAATGCACAATATGAAACTGCATAAAAATAAATCCATCCAAAAACTTTGTATAATTTTATAAAAATTTTTTTTCCCAGAGCGTGTTATTTCTACCACTTTATGATTGTAAATTTAATTTTTTTTTAGTTTCTAAATGCAAAATTACCTAACTATATAATTTTCACATGTTCATACTTTAAATCTAACGTTATATTTTTGTAAATAACTTACTGTGTAAATTTTACATATTCATACCTTTAAATTTAACAGTTATTTTTTGTAAATATACCATAAAATTGCCGTGAAATTTTTACATAACCATTTCTTTAATTTTCTCATATATTTTTTTTCTCCTCACGCAAGAGAGTTAAGAGAAACTCATATAAACCACACTAAAAAAATTTTTTACAAATATTATTTTTTTTTTATCGTAGAATTATTTTTTGATCACGAAGATATCATTCGTTTAATTTTCATTAATTCTTTTTTTATTGCCGTATATTTTTATTATGCATGTGTCACGTGAGGGCAAGCAAAGGATAAGGTTGTTGGTAAGTATGTATAAGTTTTCAAGGCAATCGCATGACTTGATAGAACTCACGCGCTCCTGGGATACAACCCCAGTACACCCAGATGCCTCGTACTTAGAAAACTTTGCTTATATACACACTCCCTCGTGACAACTTGGTTAAATTATTTTATTCATATACATTTTTCTTTTTTTTTGTTATTAATTTTTTATGGTATCTGGGGTGAAAGTACCGATAATCAAAATAAACTTGGGTGTCGCGACACGCCAGTTTTATCAATAAAATTTATTTATGCTTTTAAATTTATAATTTAATAATGAAACTGTGTTTCTGGTGATTTTAAAAGTTTTAAATTATTGAAGCTTTGATCGCAGCTATTACACTTTTTTATTTTATAAGTCGCATTTTTTATGTAATACCCAACCTATCATGGCCTATAAAAGTTATTTAGATATATTTATTCATGTTACTTTTTAGTTTTGGATTTTTTCGAATTTTAAATTGAGAAAACTTTACACGAAATTGGACAATATGTTTTGTTGATGGTCCATTTCGTTAAAATGGTGAATGAAATAATGAAAATAATTTTTTTTAATATGGAAAAAAACCGGAGACGGCTAATTTTCACATGACGACACCAGTTTAAGGTTATTGCGAACTTATTTTGAAATCAATTACACGGCGTAAAATGAGTTCACGAAAAAATGATTATATGGAAAAATTACACGGTTTTTTTTATGTTATATTTAAATAAAATAACTGTTAAATTTACAAAAATGAATTTGTAAAAGTAACAAATCCGTGAAAAAAAATTTTTTAATTATAAAATTACACTTAAATATTTATGTAAAATAATTTGGGTATGTATAATTTTGACTAATGTTTTATATAGATTGAAAAAAAGTGATTTGATAAGAGAGAAAAATTCTTTAAGCAAGAATTTTTTTTTAAAAAAGCTTTATTGTCTTTATTCAAGGAGAAAAAATTTTTTTGGTTTAAATAAATTTTGCTATATTTAAAAATTAGTCGTCTTAATTCAAGACAATGAAACTTTTAATCAAATTAATTTTTTTTTAGTGTGGTGAATGTTTCCAATGTGAAATTTACAAACTTTCTAAAGCTAAATTTGCAGTTTGATCTTGATAGAAATAAAACTGTGAATTCAACAAAGTTTTCTTGTGATATTTACAAAACTTTTTTGTCGTGCGCAATTCTTTTAGTATATATTATCAAAAATACAAAGAATGACATTCACATAAAAATACGTATGTAAATAAAGATGATTTTAAATAAAAGTTAAAAAAAAAAGGGGGAAAGGAAAGCTCAGCTCTTTTTCTGAACCAGATACTAAAATATTAATAAAACACAGAGTTGAGTTGGCATTGAAACAATAATTTAAAAAGTTTTCTATTATCATTTTGAATGGTTCACGGCATTATACTTTTATAAAGTTGTGTGTGTCTATTGTTTCGTTCTTTAGTTGGGTTTGCAATACCGAATTATCGGTACATAGTCTTGAAGTAAACTCGAGAAACGCGAACGGAACAAGAACCAACAAGTCCAGGCGATGATAACGTTATACAGAGAAACTTGAGACAATCTCTCGCTTATTCCTCTCTACATAGGTATAATTTTCCATTTTCATCTTTATCTCATCCTTACTCTTCTCCTCATTCCAGTTTCCTTCCTTTTATTTAGCCTTGCTCACACACTCTATTCTTAGCCTCATTCACTGTCTCTATCACTTCTGACGACAAAAGTTGAATTGAAACTTGCCACAGCGAGTAACCGCGAATTCTTTCTCCACTAGCTTTACATTTGCATGGGTAAACTCGAGGAAGTTTGCTTTTCTCGTTTTATGCTAATGCAATGTCTCGGTGTGCAGCCGACATCAGCGAGACGTAGCAATATCATTGACTATAATGAAACTTGCCGCGTCGAATTCAATTATTATGAAGATTTTAAATGGCCAAAAAAAATGTATTAAAAGTAAGTAAGTACACTTTTAAATATGGTTAGTTTTCATTTTTCCTCGCCTTGCATAACGTGTGCTTTAATCTCAATGTGCTGCTTTGCCACTATTTTTTTATATATAAACTCATTTTCATAAGCTCGGTCATACGTGGAATTTTTTTATTAACATAAAGTTTTACTGGTTAGACGCCTGCACCAATTCAAACACACAGTAATTGATATTTATAAAGTTCCTTAAAAGATAAAAAGTTTAGACTTTGAATTGATAAAAAATTTAATTAATACTGAGAAAATATAAAAATTTTAAGAAGAAAAACCACAGATTGTTGAAACCTTGACGGAAAAATATCTACATGATTAGCATATCGACGTTTTAATTTGCAAATCGTCAAACTTAATCTCAGAAAATCTTTTATTTATTCAAAAAAACAGCGATGAAAAAAAAATTTTTCTTTTATACCGAATATCAATTTAATATCTATTATATGTACACGGAAAAAATTCTATGTAAAAATTACAGAAAGGTTATTAAATATCCGTAAAAACTACATGGCCATTTATTTTATATTTACAAAAAGTAACTGTTAAATTTACAGAGTTTTTTTTAGTACTATTTACCGTACAAAAACATTAGAATTGATCAAAATCATCGAAAAATTTGAATGGATTCCACTTTATATTTTTTTAATGGGGAGATATTTTTTGTCCATCGTTTTCGCTCTAAAAAATTTTGGAGTTGCAAAAAAATTTTTTTTAAAATTGAAAATTTTTTTTTAATCAATAAATTCCGTAATACTGACACGATTCATCAATTTTTGTGTGGATACGAGATTCGTTGATGACTCTAATGATATACGGGATATCATTGTTATAGTTGTCTAATCAATTATGAATCAACCGATTCATGAGACAGGGAAATTCACTTGCAGTCGACCAACCGAATTATGTAGATTGATCACGATACAACATTGCTCTTGTGCTCACGGGGGTAATTATCTCGTCACGGAATGGTACAGGTGACTAGCGGAACGTTCTCTAGGGACAAATTTCTATCTCTCTGTCTCATGACCATGCAAACTGAGACCACATTTGATCGGAATTCAACCAAAAAGCAAAGCTCAAATTTATATAAATCCCATTAACTGGTTTTTTTTTTGTGTAAATAAAAAAATAAATGACACTTTCGTATTTTATAAAATCACGGCATAGAAATAACCAGATTTTTCTATTAGAAAAAAAAATGACTTGGAGTTGAAAGTGGCCTTTAAGAATTTAGTCACGAGACATCTCTAAAATAGCTGATTCGAGAGAAGTAGCCCAATCTGGGAACTTTGGGCAAAGGAGAATCTTCAAAGTATCGTGTTAAGCTTTTTCGTGAAAAATTCTTTGAAGAAATAATCCTCAAAGCAATACGACGGCTTAAACGACACATCGCTACACTAAAAAGTCTAAAAACTAACATATTAACTATTAAATACTTAGGGCTTGGGTAATTATCGCCATTAGCGGGCTCAAAAATGTTAATGCCCATAAGTAGATAGAGATAAGATAATATAAAACGAAGCAACAGTGGAACGGAGTCAAAAAAAAAAAAAAACAAAGTTAAGTATGTTAGAATGAGGGTGCAAAATATGGAGGCTGTCCTTTTGAATTATCGCTCGTGGCGATACTCGACGTATATTAAAATCCTTTTAACCGACCATAAATAAGACTACACTCACCCAGGTAATCCCTGAATCTTAGCTGCCCAAGTATATCAGAGTATTATACTACACAGGGAAACTAAAAACAAGACCAAAGACTACGGACCACGAAAAGTTCACTGTATACATGCTTTCATTCTTGTATATATAATACTCAGACAACCGATACAAGTAAAAGGGACTAGAGTAGTCTACGTAAAATTATATTCAAGCATATTTTTTTTATGCTGAAGACGGTCAGCACAAGTATATTCAACTTATCTTGTACTTTTTTCCACTTCATAAACTTCAAAATTATATTCTTATCTTACACTTTCGTATAATGTTATATACAAGTACGGCACATATATTACACTAAATTTACAATAAAAATTACTTTAAATCCGAGACGTTTTTATGCTTCAATAAATTCAGAGCGTATACATTTTTTAATGACCCATAATTTATCAAATGTACTATCAATTGTTATTCTTTACTTATTCTTTCATACTAGAAGATTAATAAAAAATTATTTTGCAATTTTAGTCACATTTAAAATTTTCAATTTATTAAAAAAAATTTATTGTTGCTCGACAAAATGTTTTTATATAAATAAAAACAATTTTTTATAAATCAACAATTTTTGGGAAGAAAAAATTTCTTCTCTTTTTAGAGATCAATTGTTACATTTTTCAATGAAATATTTAAAAAAATTATCAAGCAAAGTAACCTTTGGTAGAAAATGAAATTTTCTTCAGATAAGCGTTTGCAGTATCGCCAGTCGGCAAAGTTGAAAAGTAAGCAAGCCCTGACAGTAGATAAGAGTTCCCCACGAAAAATAACAAACCCTGCAACTATCAGATGGCCTTAATTCGCAATTCCTATTTACAAAAAAATTATTTAGTGGGAATATGTAGTTGTATAAAATTCAAAAATTACATAATCGATACTAAATAAATGGGAAAGACTGCCGAAATTGTGATGGTTAAAAATAATGACTATCTAAGATAAATTTAAGCTTGCATCAGAGAGTCAGTAACGATCTGAATGAGGAATAATATTTAAATAACAGCACTTAGTACGATAAAAATACAATTAAATGACGTATCCAGATATGAAATATAGATGTCGACACAAAGATATAAACCGGTAAAATCTAGTAATCAGTGCGCAAGACATACTGCGCAATTCCATTGACCGATGCGAGAGAAAATAAGACAAGGGCCACCAATAGTAATTGTCGATGTCTTCGTGACAAGACTTGAGCGTGATCACTCGAGCGGTGTCATTCAATAGAATATACATCATTGAAAGTGCATTTTCCAATTATATATACACCCAATCGTATATATACGTTATAATATTATTAATATTATAATAGCTAACTGGGTATTAATATCTCCATTTTATACACTTAAGTTTTATCACAAAATCTAAAATCTCACAAACGACAAATTCGAAAGTGTTTAATATTTTTGTTTTTTTAAAAAAAAGTAACGATCGCATCGCGCTTCATCTACTCAAATCGAGATTAACAGTTTATTATCCACATAAACAATCCATAAAGTTTGTTTCTTTAAGCTGCAATTGTTTTTAGGCAACGAGGGTCGTGGAAGATCCAACAAATCTATATTAAATAACACCAGCTCGGGATTTAATAAAAAATCCTCAAGGTGAGCTTTTTTCATTCATTTTATTAATATTATTATATTATTAAATATCTAACCATAGATTTTAATAACAAAGCTAATCATTTAAACAAATTAGGTCAATAATTAAGTAATTAATCTGAGTGATTAATCCGCCTTTCTCTGTTACGTAAAATGTGACTAACCAGGATTTTAAATAACTTTTAATAATTATGTTTTTAAAAAATAAATTATAAATCGATTTTGAATCTCGTAGTCGGAGCCGACTCAATTACGGTAGAGGGATGACGTAGAAAATCAATAATAGTAACCCTACCCCAACATCGAGTCTTGTCGTCAGCCATACAATTTTACTTAAACTAAATTAATTTTGTTGCTAAAATAAAAACAAATAACAAATTATTTATTTAATTGTTCATCAAACGGAGGACTTAATACAAAAAAGCGTGGACGGGATTGCTCAACGTTATCTTAAAAAAGGAAGTATATGATTTCCCGCGTCCGGAAGATATTGATGGGCTTTACATATATATTATAATACAATGTGCTATACATATAGCAGGCTATGCATTAACGTCAGATAGGCACACATAAACATATCTACACCTACGTACGAAGTACTTCTTTATATGTACGAATACATTTATAGACACATGTTAAAGTGCTACGTTTCTTATATTAGTCACCGGGTCGGTATATTTCCTAGTTCATACTGTTATGTATATACATATACATGTACCAATATATAATAGTAGTCTTCATTAAAAGTTAAGAGGACAAAAATTGGGCCACTTAACCAACTAACTCTTCTATTCTCAACTCGTTTAATTTCAAAATTTTTTTTTCTACATAATATTATTTTGTTTTAACTTTCTGTAGGTTAATGTGTCATAACACTTTTTATTTATTTATTTTTTTTTTTTTAAGAAATAACACATTTTGATGGCATTTTTGAGCATGGCAATGTGAGCACGACTTGCATGTGTTTGTTGTATATAGTCTTTATAAAAGTAAAATTTAAATATTTTAGAAAATTTTTATATTTTAATTTTACTTTGTAGATATTTATTTATTTATGACAGTATTGAAATTGAGAACAATTAAATTTTAGTTATAAAAATAATTTTTGGAGTTTTTCAAATTTACTTTTCATTTAAAAAATTTATTTGTTCAATCATAAAAAAAAACCTTTATAAAAATAAATATTAATTTTGATCAAAAAACATGAAAATTTTTTTATTACATTCGCGTTTAAATATTTATTTATCGATGTATGACCGAAAATAGGGTGGACCCCTTTTCAAACGTGTAATTACCTCGCCCGTTAATTTCAGGTCATTAATTTCCATGCTACTGAAATTAGCAGACCTGAAAATGATCTGCTTTTTTTCCGATAATAAATATTAAAAAAAAAAAAATTTTTAAACCTTTGCATGTATGTAAATATGTAAATAAAATGAATCTAATGTCATGAGTCATAAATAAATATCTATCAATAATAAATAATAAAAATAAGTATTAATAAAAACTCACAACCATAACTAATAAAATTAGAATAATTATTATTTATTTATTATTTTATTTATTTAAATTTAAATTGTTAATTTGTCTTGACCAATGTGTCCCAATGCTTTCGGTCACGCCTACGATGTCCAGTGCGCACAGCATCAACCGATATTTAAGTTGGCACGCCGCCTCATCTCAAAAGTTGTATCATCTTTATCGTAATATAAACCAACAGCTAAACACAATACAACAGGAAATTTGTGTCACCGTTAAATCCTGAGGCTCTGAGACTGATAAAAAATAAAAGCTAGTTTTGAATACCTGAACAAAATAGTAACTAAAGGGGTTAAAAAGTGCCGCGATGCCGGCAAACAATGGAACTTCTTACCGATCATTAGATGATCTAGGTGAAAATGTTTATAAAAGTACGACGATCGTCGAGCAAACCCACCAGACAATGAGTCAAAGTGTGTTGGATAGTGTAAAAAAAGCCTTCAATTTTGCTGCACCCAAAGTTGAGCTCAGGAGAAAGGATCCGCTCATCGATGACCGTACGGAAAGCATTTCCATTGTTACTAGGTACGTTACAATCGTTACCGGTTTTTTTATTATTTCCATTATTATTATTATTACTACTACTATTATTGTTATTAATTGTTTAGTAAATGCGTAGAGGTGTAGGGTATGTTTAGTTTGTGGTTAAATAAATAAATAAAATAAAATAATGATTTAAAAATCGATACTACCGATCGTAGAAAGTCGATCTCGAGGGATTGCAAGTTGACACTGCGGCTATCGATCCGGCCTGTGTAAAAAGGCCAAGAGGTAAGCCGCATGCAACTTATATTTATTTAAATTTATATGAAAACATAAACTCCATTAACATACATATGAGCTTTTATTGATAATTATAATTATTAATATGTGCATGTTATGGCTTTTTATATTTTTAGCACACCGCCCGCTTTTTAGCATGCTTTAGTTAAGTGTGCGTGTGATTATTTTTGTTTTATATTTATATATCTATAATTATTATTCATAATTTTAATTATATATGATGTAATGTAAAATAATTAATTTATAATAAAATTTATTCAATTAAAGCAAGAGTTGACGCGAAGGATTAACATGTTGTTGTGTGTGATTTTGGATCTAATAATTTTGTTTTAGGAACAAAAAAAATATGCCGACCGCCGCTTGTCCCGAGGAATCAGCGCTGCTGGGGTGAGTATCCGATTATTTAAACAAAGAAGAACTATATAAATGTTTTATTTTATGGATTTTTACTCCCATGGATTTAACAAGACGTTATATGAAAATTATAATTTGTTCATAATTATGAAATGTTTAAGTGGATGGATAAATTGTGAACGAAAGAATGTAGACTAAAAAGTATGCATTGCTAGAGAATGATATTTTTCGATATATAGTTATAGTTACTTTTTAAAGTAGTTAGAATTTTGCATTTTATACAACATACGTAATACACTGTACACTGTACCTTATATATTATATTATTATATTATATACTGGCGATAGTTCATCTGTTCATACATATATTATTGTTATATTTATGAAAAGTATATCATACAGCAATGATTTATAGATTTTTGCTACTGTATTATGCTCTATCACGCTAGCACTTAGATTTCTTTCCATCGAAATTTCTATCCGCGGTCTCTATTCAAGCTACAATTGTATTCATATTCTGTTTAGTTTTGAGTGGATTTTCGTGATTTTATTATCATTAATAATTAAGAATAGAAAACTAAGATTAAGTCTTCTTTGGGAAAAAATTTAGGGCTCGGGACAATGAAAGTCGGGGACAAAAGAATATTTTTTAAAAGTATTAAATGAGTTAAGTATTAACAATAAAGAGAAATTTTTTTAAATTCACTCTACACGAAAATAGTTGATACTATCTTTCTCTTCTTTTTTAATAGAAATTTTTAGGATTTTTTTTTTTCAATGGATAATTTTTTTAAACAAATTAAATGAGCAAATTAAAAAAAAATTTTTTTTTATTATTTTTTAAATTAAAAGATTTTTGATATTATAAAAATAAAAATAAAAATTTTGAAACAAAAATTGTTTGAATTGTATTTTTACAATTGTTTTGTTCGCGGTAATTTAAAACTTTTTATAAAATACCCCTGTTTCAAAACTGTTATCAAAGTTGTAAATAGCTGATTTAAAAATTCTCTAAACTTCAACTCTATTTTAAAACTTTATTCAAAATAAAATTTTTATATTATATAAAAAAAAGTTATAAATGTAATTTGAATTCAAGTAAATTCTTCGAAAAGTTTCCATAGAGCCAAAAATTATTTAAATTTCTACACTCATATTTTAACTTTACTTAAAAAAAAAAAACTTTTATCTATATTAAATACAAACACTTGTAAAATTTATTTTTTTACATGATTCAAAAAATATATTATTATTTCCCAATAAATAATAAATGAAAGCATTGTTAGAGGTACAGTGACAACACAAACAATTTTTATTAACAAGTTTACATGATGCAACGTATTTAATTATCCCAACTCCGTTAATTACAAACACACTACACAAAAGACGACAGTCAAAAAGTGTAACAAATATTTATTTAACAATCCTAATCAACGAATAAGCGCCTAGTGTTTACGTCTATAGTCTACGCAACAAAAAAATTGCTTTCTCCTATTATCTATATATTTTTTTTAATACTTGTGTCATTAAATGGATTCCTTACAAGTGTAAAGTATTATAAAGAATAAAAGACTGAAGTTACGATCAATCATAATAAATTGTTATACAAGTTTTGAAATGCGTTTTATTTTATTTTTTTTTTTTCTATTTAATATTTTTCAGTCTCTATTTTAGCACCGAGCCCGCAAATACTTTCTAGGACTAATGTGAGGAATAATTCGCCTTCATATTTACAAATGTATAGATTTTGCGGTCGAGAGTAAAACTATCGACGAGCATAAAATCAATATCGTGGGAAAACGAGGCCACAAAACGGAAATTTAGTTGACCTCGATAAAAAAAATTCACAATAATAGTTATTTCATTAGTTATATTATCATTTTTATTATTTTTCATTGAGAGTTTATCTGAAGCTAAAAAACTTTTAATTTATGTTCCCTGAGTTTTATTTATCGGAGCCATTATATAACTATAATGAGAGCATGTACGTGAAAATGGAACTAATTACAGTGAGTACATCGTACATCGCCCAGCTCCATCGATCGATAAATTCTAGACATTGCGACGCCATCGCAGTCCAAAAATATTTTCTATATTACTACACCTTTTTTTTTTCATATATTTATATTCCTCTCTATTATATATGAACTAGACTTTTTCGCCCCTTTTACCCCATTGTATTTTATTATCCGAGTTCTGGAGCACCAATTTGCGAAATTAAAATTCAAAGTTGTCGAAACCCATTCTCAGAATCGACAAAATAATTCACATCCTCTGACGTGGATAGCTAATGTAATTAAGGAGGTCTTTTTATTCATCAGCCAAATTAAGAAAACTTTATTCAAAACTAAATATTTAATAAATTAAACTAAGAATTTTGTGAGTAGAAAGATTTTTGGGTTCAAGCCAATTTTTTTTTCTGTATTAATAACATAAAATTATCAATTTTTGATATTTTTATGAGATAAAAACATTTTTAATTTCATCACAATTTTTTCTTTTTTATTGTTAGCAGCTATAATGAATTTATTTGAAAAAGACAAGAAGAATCATAAATGAATAAATGAAACAAAAAGTTGTTTACGAAGTATAAAAAATCAATATAAAAAGTTTTAACCGGGCAATAAATAAGAAAAGAAATAAAATAAAATAAAAGAAAAAAGTTATCGAGAGGAACTTATAAGTCACGACGCTGTTGTTTTTGACGTCAGGAAATTCAATCGTTTGTATATTTTATTCACGTTTTAAGCTACAGTGTACGTTACTACAATGTAAAGTAGACTTTATGTAAAAAAATTAATACTTTAAAAGAACTTATATTTATATTAATAATAAATTAATAAATAATAAAAAATATATGCTACGTATAATAGGTGTACTATATTGATCTATTTACTTTAAGCCGTAACCCGTAACCGCAAAAAAAGGAATAAATGACTGACAATTTTTCCATAATGAGCAATGAAGAAAAAATGATTGTTATAAATAACAAATTGCAATATAGACTATTTTTAGCAACATATGACCTTAATTACATGCTAAAGTTTATTATCTAATTATTTCTAGCACAATGCCATCAGATAGCATGGATGATATCGAGCTAAAAAATATCCAGCTCCAGTTTCCTGCGTTGAGATACCTGAGCAAAGATGATGGCTCTGTTAGAGAGGAGAGAGTTGAAACGGATAAAGGAATTTTGGTGGTCGCTGTTCAAGGCAATCGCGCTAAACCTGCCATCCTAACTTATCATGACCTAGGCCTTAATTGTCAGTAAATAAACAATAATTATTTTATTTACTGTAAAATTTAGTTGAAGATCATTTCTAATTAAAATCATTTTCCTTTTAATCTTAACTTAAGTTTTATTAATTGATTTTACTTTTACAGACATTTCGAGCTTCCAGGCATTCTTTAATTACATTGATATGCGAGTATTGCTCGAAAACTTTTGTGTTTACCATGTAAATGCACCCGGTCAAGAGGAGGGAGCACCAACATTACCTTTCGAGTAAGTTTTTAGATTATTTTGTTATTATATTTAAGTGCTGAAATTATTATTATTGAAATTTATTCAAGTTTCAAGGGTAAAGTTTGTTAATATAGTATTGACATTTTAAAATGACGTATTTTACAAATTTTTTAATTTTGCTACTTTGATTAGTAAATTATGTCTTATCAATAATAATAATTTCTGTTAAGTGTTTTATATTTGAACTTTATATCAATACTAATGTATTTTCAATTAATTGTCAAGTAATATAATTTTTTATATTTCAAAAATAACTTTTCTATTCTTGATATTGAAATCAGCAAATAGGTAATAAATTTTGATTTTATTCAAAAATGAAATAGTACTAAGAAAATATTTTTAAAAAATTACATTTTTAGAATTTTTTCAACTCTCATATGCGGAATTAAGAAAAAAAAAAACTTTTTAAACATTTCTTCTTTCAAAATTTATTTTTTTTTTAAATCATAAAAACTTTTTAGTACTTATCATAAAAAAAAAAAATTCTAAAAAATTATATTCAGTTCTTTTCTAAATTCTTTTCACACATATACAGAAAAAAAATGTTCTTGAATCAAGTATATAATTTTAAAGAACTTAATCTTCTTGATTTGAGTAAAAAAATTCTTGAACTAATAAATTTTTCTTGATTTAAGGAAATTTTACTTGATCGAAGAATTTTTCGTCTCGATTTAAGACAATTACCCTCTTCAAAATTATTTTCTCGGTTCAAGAATTTTTCTCTTGAATCAAGTTAATTTTTTTTTCAGTGTATAATTTTTTTTTAATTTTCTTTATCACAATTGACTTACTTAAAATGTTTTAAAAATTTTCCAATATCTATTAACTTCATTATTATTCTAAAAAAAAAATTCAAGCTATAAAAAAATATTAATTATTTGCTCTGAAATAATGCATATAATATGCAACTGCAAGTACGAGCTTCCACTCAATAATTGAAGTAATTTAATAATAAATTTGCTTTAATTCAATAATTCAGATAAAATCATAATTTACATCCTGTACTAATTTTATAATGAGAAGAAGAGAGATTAATATTTTTTCTTATTGCAGCTACGTTTACCCGACGATGGACGAGTTAGCACAACAGCTGCTATTTGTACTGGGGCACTTTGGCCTGAAATCGGTTATCGGTTTCGGCGTGGGTGCCGGGGCCAATATCCTCGCGCGGTTCGCTTTGGCTCATCCCAGCAAAGTTAATGCGTTGTGTTTGATAAATTGCATCTCAACGCAAGCCGGGTGGATCGAGTGGGGATATCAGAAACTTAACGTTCGTCATCTAAGGTCACAGGGTATGACTCAAGGTGTTCTGGATTATCTTATGTGGCATCACTTCGGCCGAGTATGTTATTTAATTATTGTACTATAAGTTATTGCCCCTTACTTAATAATACCCATTATACTAATAATGATAAATACATAAATAAAAAATTATTATTTTCTTATTATCGATGCTGGAGAAAAAATCTGATCTTGTTATTTTTTTTCCAGGGAACCGAAGAGAGAAATCACGATTTGGCTCAAGTTTACACCAACTACTTCGAACGGAAAGTGAACCCAACGAATCTCGCACTATTTATCGACAGCTATGTAAGACGTACTGACTTAAATATCAACCGCGAACTAGACCCGACACGCAAAAAGGACGTCCCGACATTAAAAGTCCCTATTATTAATATCACCGGAGCTTTGAGTCCTCACGTTGATGATACTGTTACGCTTAATGGCCGATTGGATCCAACTAATAGTACATGGATGAAAGTAAGTGATTTTTCGTTCAATCACCGGTTCATGCACACAAAAAAAAAATGTTCTTAAATCAAGTACATAATTTTAAAGAACTTAATATTCTTGATTTGAGTAAAAAAATTCTTGATTTAAAGAAATTTTACTTAAAGAATTTTTCGTCATGATTCAAGACAATTAGCCTCTTTAAAATTATATTCTTGGTTCAAGAATTTTTCTCTTGAATCAAGTTAATTTTTTTTCAGTCCATAATTATAACTATTAATTAAACTTTATAGTAAAAAAAAAAAAAAAATTACCTTGATTCAAAAGAATTATTTTGAAGAGTAAGGTCTAAGTAAATTTTATTTAATTTAAGAATTTTTCGTCTTCAAAATAATTTTTTTGAATCAAATTAATTTTTTTTTAGCACATTAATTAATAACTAGATCTTTAATTCATGTTGAAACTTATCGTGAAATAATATAAAATTTAACAAAAGCTTATTCTGATCACCCATGAATGATTTAACGCTAATTGAACTATAAATTTAGATTGAAATTAATTATCAAATACACATTAATGGGTTCTAATAAATTTATTGAGCTCATTAATTTTAATAAACTTTTCCAAAATTAAGGCAAATTGATTATTAATTTGAAATAAAAAATCCTGAGGATTAATAATTTAAACAAAAATAACTTGCATAAGTTTTAATAATTACAAATAAAAAGATAATACTATCGAATAATTATTTAGTTGCAGTATTATCTAGTCAATTACTACCACGATAAACATTCATGCTGATTATTAATTAGTCTATGGCGACAACATGTTGATTGCTACAAAGTTATTTTTTTTATTCCAACAGTACGGCTGTAAAATTTACCGTTTTTAATTTATTAAAATTTGTTTTGTATGTTTATCATTGAATTTTTTATTATTTTATTCATGATGATACTAATATGATTATGTTTCTTCAGATTTAATACCTAAAATTTTACATACGAAATAAAATTTAAGAATTCTTGTTAAATTTGAATAGTACATAAAACAAATGTATGTCCTCAGGTTTTATGTTATCTTAAGATAATAAAACTTTTGACTGGAATATATTTATTTTACGGTGTAATCAAATATAACTAGGGTTGTTGAGTGTTATTTTGATGGGAAAAATTTGTGGTACTAAAACTGAAGACGACACAACCTTATTATTCTGAAATGTCTTCATGGATGGCAAATAAAAGATATGAAGAAATAATAATTTATTTTATTTCACTAAAAAAAATTTTTTATACTAGTACTGTGAATAATATTTCGGAAATTAAAAAAAAAATTAGTAATTTTAATCAATGCATTTAAAAAAAATAATAATCAGAATAAATTAAACTATTTATTATAAAAAATTAATAATTTTTAACTTTATTTTAAATTTTAAATCAAAAACTTGATAATTAAATTTTTTTCCAACTCTGCTATGAGCAATTGAATTTATTAATTGAATTTTCTATAAAACTTTTTTAAATTAATTAAAAAGTTAAAATCTTAATCAAAGAGAACACTTAACTAAAAAATTAGTTTAAAAATTTTTTTGCTTTCAGAACAAATAATTGAAACAATTGAATTTTATATCAAAGCTTTTGTCTAAAAACAATTAAACTCATAATTTTATTGTCCAACAATGAGTAAACTAAAGATCATAGTTATAATTCATGACTTATATAGTAAAAATAGACTATAAAATAAATGAATGATATATAATGTATGACTTACATAAAATATTGAATGATCAAACAGATATCAGACTGTGGCATGGTCCTTGAAGAACAACCGGGAAAAGTAAGCGAAGCCTTTCGACTATTTCTCCAAGGTGAAGGATACGGTAAGTGAGCGTTGCTGAAAAGTAAATAAAATAAAATTTCAGAAAATACAATAATAACAATATAAATATAAATAAAAAAATCTATATCTATATACCTCTGAACAATATTAATCGCCAATTAAATTTTATGCGAGTAAATATTATCAATACAACTAATAATAAATACAATAGCTTTTAAAATAAGTAATGTGGGCGTAGTTCCGTCTTTTTTGTTTTATAATCGAGTATGAGCATTCAACTACTAAGTAATTGGTCCTTAATGCTCCTAATAATTATATTAATGAACCAAAGATTAAATTTTAACGGTACATTATTAAATATATAAGATGATATTTCGATAAAATACTAAATAAAATTGGTGTATGTATCTGTACTAAATATTTAATTAAATGTAACACTTGAAGAGCTAGAATTAAGCTGCAGTGTTAAATATTGTCTTAGCAACCAGTGATTGGCCTAAATTCAAATGGTATTTGAATTTTATTATCGTTTAAATGTTTGAATTTATATTATATTATTTGGAGTGTAGAGTTTAGAGTAAATTGTTGATCGTTGATCTTGTTCGAAGTAGAGAATTTATAAAAGTAGAGGTCTAAATTATAACGTTAAGTAAATTTTCATTGCTGGTTAATCAGTTATCGATTTTTAAGTAATTTATCAGTAACATTTATCACTTTCATTAAATCAAGTCCATTAACAAAATAATTCTAGTAGAAGTTAAGTAAATTCTATTAAAAAAAGAAAAACCGTCTGATGTCAAGTTTGCTTCTTGTAAAAAACAAAACAGAAGTAAATAAATAAAAAATAACAAAATATATTTATATTGTCGTGAAAAAAAGAAAACGTGACTTTTATATTGATTAAATTCGTTCGTTGGTTATGTTTGGCTTTTTTTTCGTCACTAAATATTACACAATACTTGCACTTGACACTCAACATGATGTATACACTTGAAATATATATAAACAATAAATATAAATATATATTTATTTAGAGACAATTATTTAATATTGACAATGATAATAATAATAATTCATTGTTATTATTATTATTATTATTTTTGTTATTTTTATCCTAAATTAAGATTTGATAATAATAGTAATTATAATTGTAATTATTATTATCGTTTAATTTGTTACAATCATAAATAATAATTTATATTGTAAGAAAAAAAGTAAATATTTTATGTCAAAAATCAAAAACCGATACGAAGTAAAAAATAAAAAGTAATTACAACAATAGCGAGTCCCATTAAATTTTTGAATCCCAATTTTATTAAAAATAGAGAGATTAAAACATTAAAAACAATTAAAACAAAAAACAAAAAAAGTATTACATGCTCACCAATTTGCGCCTTTATTTCCCACGCGTCTCGGATCGATCGAGTGGTATGTATTTAAAAAATCTAACAAAACAATTAAAACACACAAGTTTTGAATAAAATTAGAGGGCATCGTATATTATTATTTTGAGCTTTGTTGGCATAAATTGCTTAGTTCTTTATTATTTTTAAATTATTATTATTTACCGCAAAACGAAGAAGATTTTAATGTCTTTTTAAAATTAATATTCTGTCATATGTGATTATTGTTATAAGTTACAAGTTATTGTTATAATAAATGTCAACTAAACAATCATTCGCGTTACATCACAAGCCATGCATTAGATTTTTTTTTCTTAAGAAGCACAATTGTTGAACAACATTTATTTTTATTATTTTTTGTTCGTTTATGTTGTTTTATTTTTAATTAATTATGATTATCTACTTAAGTTAATGTTTTGTTATGTCATAATTATTATCATTTTTTATTTTATTTTTTTTCATGACCTTTAGTGGTGAAAAGCTCGCGGAAGCCGTTGACGCCTACAACATCCGAAGGTAATTGTAATTAGGAATTGAAGCAGCAAGGAACCGATCATTGCCGTTGGCCAATTTCTTGGCCATTTCTAATTGTTGAGTAAGTCGGAATTCAAAATATTATCGGGTTGTAATAATGAAAATTAATTTTTTAATTAATAATAAACCTTCTTTTTACCTATTATTAATTGTTTATTATTGTTAATATTAACGTTCGATTTTTATTTTTTAATATTTTTACTAATATATTCAATCGTATTTCGAGTAATTTTTATATTTTATTATTTTCATTTGGTAATATGTCATTTAAATAATTATCAAAAATTAATACCACTTATTTGCTGTAAAAAATTTCTAATTTTGCTGATTTAAAAAAAACAAATTTTCGCGACATAAGATTACACTTTCAACTTGTAAATTTAATATTTAACAAGAAAATGACTCTATTTTAATTAAAAAAAATTGCAAATTTCTCACAAATTAAATTAATAAAATAAGTAATATTTTTTCACTAAAAAGAAAGTAATGTTTTAATTTTAATGTAATTAAATTTTAATAATACCAATTAAAAAAAATTACTATATTTTTAATCCAATTAAGACTTCAATAGGGTTCACTAATTTCTTACTCGATCCCCAGATGCCTCCGCGCGATATCAAGGAAACAATGAAAAAATTTTTTAGAGCTCAAATAAGTGGATCCTTGAAAGTAATTATAAAAATTACGATATCGTGAAATAATATTTTTAATCAATATAAAAAAAATGACAATTACCGAATGAAATTGTAAATAACTAATATGTATAATAAATAATTAGTCTCGGTTTTTAATTTAACTAATAAACTCAATACAAAGTTAAAAACAATAACCTTCTCTGTTGGAAAACTAGTATTTTTCCCTAGCGGCTCTCGCTCGATTGTGGTAGGAAAATTTCAACAGACTTTTATACATAAATATATAAATATATATAAACTTACAGCTAACATACTAAACAGAATAAAAATTGCACCTAGAGTAGAGTCAATGGCAATCACATATTTTAAACAAAAATACTCGTGAAGAAAATATAGTCTTCAATAAATGACTATATACGCACACAACAATAATAACACGTACACATTAATTATACTTTGAGTTGCATGTGTGCTTGTTTTTGGTTTATAATATTATTTTTACTTTAATCATTTATTTGTCAATTAATTACTTGAAATTATCATTGATTTGTGAATTAACAACTATAATATTGTGGACCATAATCACCTCTGTCACTGTCACTCATATGTAATTCGATAAATCAAAAACCTCATAATATGTGTGTCAATAGATCTTATTTAATCATTTTTATATTTATTGAAAAAACTATACTATTACTAGCAAATATTATTATTACTAATAATATTGATTTAATCAATTAAATTAAATTTTAATAAAAGTAACCTTTGATTTATACTAAATACCATAATTTTTTCAATTTCAGTGGCTCCACTGTCACCATTAAAAATGGCCGATTATCGCTTAGCGTCATTAGAAGGACTTAATCATTTTTGTTCGAAAAAATTTGATTGGCCGACCGCCACTATCCACATTACAGAGAATCCCATATCAGAAGCTGTCGTTTGCTAAATTATAAATGTAAAGCGTTTATTATCTTTATAAGTAACGAAACAACCAATTGTACGCTTTGCAATTTTAATTTAACCAACAAACCACTCAATAATTGTTATAAATTATTAAAACCAAGGAGGAGTTTTTAACAAACCAACCAACCAACCAGCAATTACCAATTATTTAAATTATCTCATAATTTAAATCCAGGATTGGTTTCGTCTGTATACAACGATCGTTAATTATTTTCATCGAAGACGATATCACGAACTACAAAAAAAAAACAAAACAATAATATCAGAATTTTTAAACATTTACAAATTTACAATTGGCCTACGGAATAAATTAACAGAACGAACCATATCTTTATGGAATAAGTACAATTCATATCGAAAAATTATAACGAAAAACAAAATCTCATTTAATTATTAAATAATTGTTTAATTGATTGAATCCCTAGGTAGTTAGATAGTTAGTTATTATTAATTATTATTATTATTATTATTATTTATAAAAAAAAAAATGAAAAATTAGATGTTTAAAATTAGTTCGCGCATTATTTGCACTCCTGCCTAACGTAAAAACAAATAACAAGGGAATTAAATTAGATAAATAGGTCCCACTTTAAAAGTAATTATAAAAACTATAATTAATTAAAAAGTTTAAAATGGTTTGGTAGGTCTCCAATGGGTTGCCCAATCCCCAAGCCTCTAGAGTGATATAATAAGACGTGCCTGCATTTAAATACGAATTCTTATAACCTAACAATACAAACAAAAACAAACTATTTAATAATTAATTGTTTAATTTTGTTATTTTGTACGAGTATATTTTTATTGATAAGACAAAAGATTTTATTCTACAATACCGAGAATGATGATATGTGTTATCTTTTGCTTTTGAATTAATATTGTTATTGTTATTGCTATAATTATTAATACTATTATCATTATCATTATTATTAGTATTATTGTTATTTTTATTATTATTATGATTATAATTAATTTGAACGCTCGTCTTCTAATTGCGCTGACATGAATGGTTAGTTGCTGAACAATATTACAAATGTGCATACGTGTTTGATCTGAACTGTAAAATGATATTTTAAAACTGTTGACAATGCATTAAGCGAGCTAAATGTTTAGATAAGTCTTGCCGGAACTTATTTTTGACAGCAATACAAAAATATAAAACTGTCGGGTGAAAATAAATAATAATAATAGTAATAATAATAATCACTAATTATGCATCACTAGGTTAACTTGTGAAATGTTTGTAAACAAAATAATTGTGTCAAATATGTCAGCTGATTGTTTAAATTCATAATAGTGCTTAAAAAATTAATTTTGACAGCTGATAAAAAATATTTAATTTAAATGATCCTGAAGTTAGCTGATTGTCAATTTTTTTAATTTTTATAATAAATAATAAAATTATTTTTAAAAAATTGAAGAATTTTATTTTTAATAATTTTATAAAAGTATAAAAAAATTTCTAATATCTGTCAACTTCAGTGTTATTAAAAAATTACTTTTAAAAAATTATAATAGTGAAGTTAGCAGACATCTGTCAATTTTAAAAATTTTTAAAATCAATGATAAATATTTTCACTTGTAATTTTTTAATATCTAAATGTGGAATATGAAAAATAATTTAGGAGATATTTTATAATTTTTTTAATGAAACTTGAAGTAGCAGATATTTAATAAATTTTAGAATTTCTTTAAGAAATAAATTAGTGCAAAAAAAAATTGACATGTAGAAATTTAAAAAAATTGAAAATGCAATTTTTTTAAATTATTTTTTTGGAAGAAATTTTTTTGTTAAATAAAATTAAAAAATTGTAAAGTAACTGCTAACTTTAATGGCGTAAATTATTTAAAAAAATAATGAAAATTAATTTAGCAGACATTTTATGATTTTAAAAATTTTTTTAATAAATAAATTATGTCAAAGAAAATGAGGAAAAAAATTGACATTTAGAAAATTCAATTTTTTAGAAATAATTTTTCGGAGCAAATTTATTTATTAATAAAATCAAAAAATTGTCAAGCAACTGCTGACTTTAATGTCATAAATAAAGTCAGCCGAGATCTAAAAATTTTTATGATTTTTTTTATTAAAGAATTATTAAAAAAAATTTTATCATTTGTCAAAAACTTCAAAAACTATAAGTGCAATTTTTTAAAAATATTTTTTAGTTATAAATTAATAAATTAAGCAAAATAAAAAAATCAAAAATGTCGGCTAACTTTATTATTATTAAAAAAAATTTCAATTTTAACTTTTTAATATTTCTATAGGTCAATTTTTTTTCCTGATTTTTTTTTTCCATAATTTATTTGTTAAAAAAATTGTTAAATGTCGCTAAATTAATTTTTATTCATGCATCCTTAATAAACCGACAGCCAACCGTAATTTAAAACCACATACTTACAATATTCAGCACATACGTATAGTATTTTCTTCGTAGAATAAAAACCGCGTCCGTTGCTCGGGAGTCTTCGTGAATCTTCGCATCATCTGAAAGTACAATTCATGTTATGCTTTTTTTTTACTTTAAAAAAAAAAAATTTACAATCAAATATCAAAAAATAAAATACATTTCTTCAGATAAATCATTTTACACTAATAAACATTTATTTTTATTAATTAATGCGTTTATTTTAAGTGTCTTGTTGTCTTCACCATTGAGACGGCAAATTTTGTCATGCAAAACTTTTGGAATGACGCCTCGTAGTGTTCCGTAAATCTTCGGTTATTTGTAGTAACGTCTTCGGGTGTTTACGTATTTTAACGGGCGCTACCTGTTGCGCATGCGCGGGATCTGGTGCAACCACTGACAAGCCGCGCGTATTCCCGACTGGACTAGCGTGCGAGTGCGTCGTGGACAAATGTCGTTTGCTTTTTAAACACAAACATTTATTTTTTTTATTTACATTTTTTTCTCCGTCCTTTTTTCCGAGTATTTTTTAATAAAATAATTTAAAAACTGTCGAGAGTTTTAACAAGTGATATTTTTTAGTGATTAGAGACATCTGGTGATTTATTTTAATGGTTATTTATTCAAATCAGCAGCAATAATAAATTTTAAAGAAAACTCCCTGCAGGATTCTAGTGACAGCTTCGCTGATTGTAAAAAGATAATAATAAATAAGTAAATAAAAGGCAAGTGTTAAAAAAAAACCAGTGCAGTGGTTTATTTAATAAAAAGCCGAGTGTCAAGTGATATGCATTGTTTCCCGTTATTTATGTGGAGGTAGCTGTTACCAGAGACTTTGAGTCCTGGACAACTTAAAGGAAAATGGCAAGAGCCATAGCTGGGATCTACTTGCTCTCTATCTTGGCAGCTACTTATGCAGAAGTTATTGAAGAGCGAGGTAAGCAAATATTTTTTTTTTTTTTGGAGTTTAAAATTATTTTATTTTAA